GGGGTTAGGGTTTCGGGTGTAGGGGTTTAGGGTTTAGGGTGTTTCGGGGCCTTCTGGGCTGAGAGCTTGGGCTTTAGAGTAGAAGCTAGAAAGTGGGAACATTCATGTCCTCATGCCCTTAAGGTAAAGTATCAGGGGTCCTAGCACTAATCCTCCCAAGCCCATGTTCCAACTTTCTGGGATTCGATAAGGAAGTAAGGATTCTCTAAGGGATGTAGGCCTGGTTTTTTTAAAGGGTTTTTGGGTTTGGTATTCAGGGGTCCGGGTTTTAGGTTTTGGGGTTTCATCGTTTAGCGCCTGCGGGTTTAGGTTTCAGAGCCTCGGGCTACGAAAGCCTCCAGACCCGGCACCCCACAAGCGGTACCCGAAAAACTCGAGGCGTTGTGCGAGCTGCTAGCGATCAGCTGGCTTGTAGTTCAGGCCGTGAGGAGTACCATTTCAAGCCTTGGCAATCCCCAAGTTGAACCCCTAACCCTAAACCCTAAACCCAAACCCCCAAACCGGTGCTCGCTCTGGGGTCTTTAAGCGGCTATGGATTGGAGGGTCCCACACGCCTGAAAGGGCAAGGCATGTCATGTCTAAAGTTGCAGAAAGACCGCCAACAGCTGGTCGCCAAACCCCGAACATGGACAAATGATAAACCTGTTACAAGTCTCGAGCCGCTCTCAAGGACCGGTTGCTGGACTTTGTTCGTGACCCGGCGGTATGATGGGCTTCGAACCTCCTGCGATTGAGTAATGTAGGGGCCTTAATAATAGGGTTTTGGCGGTTCCTTATATAATTACACTATAAAGGAACCCAGAACCCTATTCTAATCATTAACGCCGCTACGTTAGGATCGAGGTCTGCATCCTTGAAGTCTCCTTGACTTTTGGTGAGCTCTACCTCTGAGCCCCAAAACTCTAGCAAGACGGAAAAAGGTCCACAAAAGAAACTCAAACCCTGAACTAGTTTTGAACTGTTCAGGCCCTGCCAGGGTTCAGCGTCTGGGGCTGGAGAGTCGAAGAGACAGTCGGCGGGCTGAGTGGGGTTTAGGGTATAGGGGAAGCCATATAGACTAAACCCTAAACCCTAAACCCTAAACCCTAATGAACCCTTAGAAACTCCTCTGTGGGGTGTGGGTATGGGGCTCAGCGGTTTGCAGCGTTCTTTTGTTTTCGTTCCTCGGCGTTCAGGCCCCTGGGGTCTGCGGCCATAGGACCCTACTAATGCGAATCCCGGTAATTCCGAAACATATACACATCTTAATACTGATATATATATATATATATCTATCTATCTATATTTATATATCTATCTATCTATCTATCTATCTATCTATCTATCTATCTATCTATCTATCTATATATATATATATATATATATCAGTATTTATATGTGTATTTATATAACATGTATATGTATGTA